TGGAACCAGGAATAAATCACATCACTCCTGTTTTCGCCGTGCTCTGCACTAGCTCCCAGAAAAATCTATCCTCAACCGCTTATCCTGCGTACAGGGTCGCGGGGGGGCTGGAGCCAATCCCAGCTGACATCGGGCGAAAGGCGGGGTACACCCTGGACAGGTCGCCAGTCCATCGCAGGGCCACACATAGACAAGGACAATTTAGGGTCACCAATCAACGTCGGCCACATGTCTTTGGACGGTGGGAGGAACCCGGAGCACCCGGAGAGAACCCACGCAGACACGGGGAGAACATGCAAACTCCACACAGAAAGGCCGGGACTACCTGGCCTACTTCTTACCTACAGAGCCCTAAATGGTCAGGCACCATCCTATCTCAAAGAGCTCATATCTTCGTACTACCCCACCAGAGCACTGCGCTCCCAAAATGCAGGGCTACTTGTGGTGCCTGGGGTCTCTAAAAGTAGAATGAGAGCCAGAGCCTTCAGCTATCAGGCACCTCTGTTATGGAATCAGGTCCCTCTTTGGGTTCGGGAGGCAGCCAACATCTTCCTTTGTTGTGTAGGCTTGAGACCTTTCTTTTTGATAAAGCTTATTGTTAGGGCTGGTTTCTTCTCTTTGATGAGACATTTAGGTTTATTTAGAAATTTGATGAAGTTTTTTTTTTATTATCTTGTTGTTTTTACCCTCAAGTATTTTATTATGTGTTTTTAAATCTACCTTGTTTATTTTCTTTTTGTCACCTTCTGCATTGTATATTGTAAAGCGTATTGAGACCATGTCACTGGTGATTTTTCACTTTGAATAAGCTTGACTATAATGCTTGACTTCAATAAACCTCTAGCTTCTAGCATGTTTTAAACATTCTATCACCTCTTCCTTCAGTTAGGCATACACCTGAAAACATTTCAACTGCTGTAACCATAGATTTTCTTGACACAAAAAATGTCAAGAGAATGCCGAAACACCTGCATGAGCTTCATGCAAGGAAGAATTGGAAGAATGTCCATACCAGGGATGGGGCGATTGGATATAACCAGCCATTCTGGAATTTCTCTTGTGGCTCTCCAATCCAAAAAACACATAACCACCTAGTTCAACTTTGATAATTTCATTACATTAAGCATTCTTCACCCACTGTGTGAAAATAAGAAATAGCCCAACTCATGCAAATTGCTTCAACAAAATCTTAGCTGAATATAATTGCCGTACATACCTTAGCCCTCACACACGCTGTCACACTGAGCATATTATAGAGTTTAGCCTAGCAGGGTCCAGGTTTGTCAGCCTGGCATTTAAGCCTTTTTGTTGAACCTGTTTTGAACAGGATATAAAAAATATATATTTTGTGTCTCAAGGCTCAAACTAAAGAAAAACATCATGATTTCCAGCCGAATCAATGAAAACAAATAAAATAAACAGGCTGTTACGTTACAGTGAAAATATTCATGAACGTTAACCAAGTTTAGTATATTAGTGTTTACAGTATTCAGAGTTTTGACTTCTCACAGATGTGAACTGGCATGGCAAATGTAGACTAGTGCTATGCAGACTATAGCACTAGTACTGTTCATCAGCACTGCACTTGTGTGTGTTTGAGAAAGTAAGAAAATCTTTTGTCCCAGTGAGAGAGCTAAGTGGTGGAGGCACTAGACACCTGGTTCCCAAGTGTATTCACTGGCTGATATCGTGGGAATGGTTAAAGAGCTGTTCTTTCTAAGAGGTATAAACACATTTGGAGGTGTGGAAGAGTTTGATTTCACCATATGAGATTTCACAGAAACACTACTACCACCATTAAAAACCTTTGGAGCACATTATGATCTGAGGAAAGTGAGGATGTTGAGATTCTGCGTAGCAATATAAAGACAAGACAATAGCACAGCTGTGGATGTTGACGAAAGCCTTGAATCAGATGACAGGGGGAATAACTAGTGGGCAAAGAGGGAACTCTACGTGGATCTCCCCAGTATTTGTAACCCAGAGAAAGGAGGGAGGAAAGCCTCACATGCATGTTGACCTCATGGAGCCTAAAAAGTCAATCATCACTCGCTGCTATATGCAGGTAGCATTCAGCATCACTCGCAGTGCCGACCTCCATTTGGCCTCGCCTCAGCTGCATCGACCTCTCAGAAAATGATGACGATCCTACTGGCAGGCTTGTCATGCCCTCCACCTCTGCATAGCCGCCCCTCCATTTGTCTGTGTTGGTCTGTGATTGCCTGAGTGGACACCGGCGTGCTGGAGCTAGAGCAGAGCCTCACCAGCTGCATCTCCTCCTGCAATTGATGGAGGTTGCTGCATGCCTTGAATGAGACGGACTCGAGCGTAAATTCAACCAGAGTTCTTTGTGTTTCCAGGGCCACACCAAATCCAAAGATTGCGTATAGTGGCTGATGCCTACACTGATGCTGGAAATTCCATTACCATAGCAACCCATGCAGATAGTTTGGTGATGTCTGGACACACACACCCTATCTGATCACAAGTCTGTCTTAAAGATCTGATTCAAGAAACAAATCTGATTAACCTGCAGTCTGAACAAAACTATTTAATCCATTCAGACAGACAAATCTATTGTTTATGTGAAATCAACACGGGCAAGCCAGTCAGCAAGGAAAGTGAAACCGCAACTTAACTTTATTTGGTAAACATGTAATGTAATTCTGTGACATTCTCTGGTTTATCAGAGTGTATTTCACCATTGTGCCGATTGCAATGAACCTTTGACAGACGAGGTGCATCTCAGAAAATTTGAATAAATTTCTTCTGTAATTTAATTCAAAAAGTGAAAGTTTCAGTTATTCAAAATTCATTACACATAAAGTGAAATATTTCAAGCCTTTTTTTTTGGTTTAATTTTGAGGATTACAGTTTACAGGTCATGGAAATCAAAACTATCAGAATTTTAGAATAACAAAATTATAATACAGATATGTCCGCCTAAGAAGAGCTCTAATCAGGTAATTAACCCCGAACATCCCAAAAGATTTCCTGAGCCTTTAATCTCTCTGTCTGGTTCAGTGAAGTTCAAATGAATTTCATTTTTTGAGATGCACCTGCAAATGAATGGGTCCGATGCGGGCTGAATGGAGCCTCACTAGACCCGCGTCATACATGCATCTCCTGTAGAAAGACGGTGTACCTGACAGAGGCACACTATGCACAAAAAGAAAACCACTCCTGTGTGTTGGGCTTGCTCACTAAAATGTCCACAGCAAGTCAGCCCCTGCAGAACCTGACCATAAGCCTGCACTCTGGCCTAGGGGTTAGAGAAGAGGAAGGTTGCTGATCCGATCCAGATACATAAGGTGGAAGAGCAACACCTTATCTTAACACCCAACCTGGCCAACAGATCAATCTGTGGTTGTACTGAGCAGCTTCTGGGTGTAAACAGGCTGTTCCCGAAAAGGCGAGCCTCAGGCAAACGTCCCTGTAGATTCTTTAGATTTGCACTAATTATGAGCTAAATCAGGCTGCAGGTACATGAACAATAAATAAACTTAACATTCTATTCACCATATCATCATCATGGCTGCCAATGTAATAAGAGGCAATTTTATGCAACTCCAATATCCATGACACATCACATGACCTCCTCATGTTAATCATTATATGTTCCTTTTGAAAGAAATTTTTAGCATCTAACCTTATATCAATCATTTCTGCCTTTGTCTGTCTGCTCTGATGACATGTTATTGTCAGGTGTATTATTAATTTTTTTTAATTGTTTCAGGTCCTCTAGTACTACTATGCTAAATTTAAAGCTCCATACTGTGAGTCTTCCTTTTTGCTCTTTGGTAACTATTTTGTGGATGAATCTTGTCCACACAGATCAGAACAGGCAGCCTTATATGGCAATTTTAGGGGTTTTGATCATGCTAGTGATCAAATCTCACAATCACGCAAGTTCTCATGAAAGGGTGGTATTCATCAGGTTAAAATGCTAAAAAGTTTAGGAGAAAAATACCTACATGAAGCTCACCAAGGAGACAATGATACAAGCATAGGCATTAACAGATAGATTAGATATACAGTACTGACAAAAGGGTTTAGGCTGGTGTGAAGAAAGTGTCATAAAGTAAGAATGCTTTCAAAAATAGACATAGACTTGGACCGCACATCTGGAAACCCCTGTCTGCCTTCTGTCTGGAGAGTCCTTGCAGATGCAGTATAAGTAGCTTGTGTGTTGTTGCTCTGCTCAGTCTTGCTATGGTGAACAACTTTTGACCTATCTGATCTAATTGTTAAATCATACACATTAATATGCCTTCAAAATCCCTGACATTGTGCAAGTGTACCTAGAAGAATTTATGCTGTTTTAAGGGTGGTCACATCAAATATTGATTTGATTTAGATTTTTCTTCTGTTCACTGACTTTGTATTTTGCTAATTGATAATGAAATTGATAATAATAATCTATTAACACGTCTATTTTTGAAAACATTTTTACTTGATAGCATTAGTTTCACACCTGAAACTTTTGCACAGTACTGTATATTTCTTCTTCTTGAGGAGTGATTCACCTGTTATCAGTCTGGTTTCAGTTGTTTCACTGGGTTGTTGATAATAATTTATAATTTAAAAGGATTTATCCCAATTTAAATATTATTTAATGTTGCTGGCAATTTGCACATTTCATTTTGTGTTATCTTTTGTACAAGTGGTCTGTTTGCATCATTAGAGGTCATAAATCACAAAAATATTGATGAACATTGATGAGAATTTCATGGAAATCAAGGCATTGGTATTTGGGAAACCTTTTCCAAGAGTCTGTTTGTCCTGGGAAACTGTTGAGATGACGGTGGGGCTTGAGAAAGGACTAGTTGTGTAGATGACATCAACATACTTAAGCTTTGCCTGTAGTGGAATGGAGTTGTCCCTGCATGGACACAAAGCTAGTGTTGACTGTGAGTAATGAGGATTAATGTCATTTCCTGTGAAACTACTTGTGCTAATGTGAATAACCATCTGCAGTGAAAGAAATCCACTAACATATGAAACCTTTGAAATCTACCTTTTATTACAAAAACAATAAACCTTCATCTTAACTGCGGTTGGCAAGTTATCAATAAATCATTTTGTCTCATAGAAATGAAATGACTCACCATATATTTAATAAAAATAAACATTATTGGAGGTGATTAACGACAACAATGGTAAGGTGTGCCTTATCTCAATCAAAATATATCAGCTTATTTTTTGTTGTTTACATTATGGAACATAGCTCAGAACAAAAATGTGTGTGTGTGTGTGTGTGTGTGTGTGTGTAGGAGGGGGATGGACATAGCATACATCAGACTAACACACTGGATTAACAGTGACTGTATAATGAAGATGCCTGACACAGCTACATTAAAATATGCAAATGATCGACCTGTCATGCTGATCAAACTGCCCCTTCCAAAGAAAAAAACAGAGAGATAAAATGGAAAATGGCTTCCAACGAATGAAAGTGGCTACGTTGAATTCAGCAAAAGGAGTCACACTGAAGTGATCTGAGTTCATCTGTGTCAGATGAACAGAACTGACAGTGGAAGTGCTGCAGTGTTGCTGAAATGTGAGTGTGGACTGTTTGAGGAGGGCCATGCATGAAGCAGGTGCAGAATATGAGGCAACGCTTCATGTGGCCACGTTGTATCTGTGTGGATCATTAGCGATGCTCCCATCATTCACTGTAAGCATTTCCCTTCTCCACAGTCTTCTTCCATCTCTGTTTCCAGTCTGAGGAGCATCCTTCTTTTCTTTAGTCTCATCAGTCCGACTCCTCCATCCTCTGTTGCAGTGCTTTCACTCCCTGCAGTGATGTGTTGCAACGGCATTCATCGATTTAATGTGACCCTTTCTGCCCTGGTGGGCACTGACTGCTGCTTGTTTTGGGGGGTTTTTTGGTATAGAAAGTGAGAAAGTTGCAGGTCAACATAATTTTGGTTGAAGTCTCTTCAGTGGGCCAATAGGAAAGGGAGTAGCTTATGCAGGAACAGGAGAGTGATGCAGAGGAGGGGATCCATGGTGCTCATCACACTGCAGCCTGTGTGAGACAGAAAGGTAGAAGAGAAAGAAATTTACAACTGGATTCTACAAATCGCACTTAAAAGTATCGTATTTAATAATGTTGCAAAAGGCAACAAAACACTCAATCAACAACACTGAGAGTCTACAGCTATGTTAGCAGCTCTGTGAGGCTGTACTTACGCACAGCAATGCTAATGTGATCACAGGTATCATTTTTACCATGTTCACCATCTTAGTTTAGCATGTTAACATTCTAACATTTGCTAATTAGCATAAAACAGCATATTACAACTGAGGCTGATGGGAATGTCATTATTGGAATTAACAAATTATTTTGTGGGAGATGAAAAGGACCACCGAAGTTCACCAAAGTTACTACAATTCATCCAGTGGGTAGCATGAACGCCTTAAACACATTCCATGACAATTCATCAAGTAGTTATAGATATTTCATCCTGTATCGAAGTGCTAGACCGACCGACATTGCCAACCACAGAGCCAAGCATGGCTAAAAACAACTGAGGCTATATCCACACTACTATTGTCATTTTAAAACACAGCACTTTGGCTACATTTACGCCTGCTTTCCAGACTAAAACAGCAAATCCAAAAGCCTAAACTGGAGAAGTTTGAAAACACTGCTGACCCTGTTTTGTTTTTACTCTAGGTTGGCATATTAGTGCAGACAGGAGAGAATGCAGGACTTTAAAAATGATGACACTGACACTGACATTTGGCTTCCTGATTGGGTCTTATTAGTCATGCAAAGCAAAATCCCAACACTTCTGACAGTGTTTTTGTTGTGGTATATTTATTAAAATATTTTGTGCTGTTCAAATAACACTTGCTTGTCGCTGTTCTTGCTTTGCGATGTCTGTTTTCCGCGGCCACAGTCGCACAGCTATTCTCATGAAGCATTGCCTGATATGAACAATGCCTCAAAAGCACTCCCAGAAGACGATGTGTCCAGAAGATTAAGAATTGTTGACTTGCATGAAGCTAGAAAGGGTTATAAAAGTATCTCTTAAAGCCTTGATGTTCATCAGTCCACGGTAATACAAATTAATGGAGAAAGTTCACCACTGTCGCTACTCTTTTGACCGTCCTGCAAAGAAGACTTTACGAGCACAGCGCAGAATGCTCAGTAACATTAAGAAGGATCCTAGAGTGTCAGCTGAAGATTTACAGACATCTCTGGAACATGCTAACATCTCTGTTGACGACAAGAATTGAGTTCATGGGAGGACATCACAAAGGAAGTCACTGCTGTCCAAAAAAACACTGCTGCATGTCTGAAGTTTGCAAAAGAGCACCTGGATGTTCCACAGCACTACTGGCAAAATATTCTGTGGACATATGAAAGTAAAGTTGAGTTGTTTGGAAGGACCACACAACCCTATGTGTGGAGGAAAAAAAGCACAGAAGCACCAAAATTAAAACCTCATCCCAACTGTGAAGTACAGTGGAGGGGGAATCATGGTTTGGGGCTGCTTCACTGCCTCAGATCCTGGAAAGGGACCCTTCAATCAAAAAAATGAATTCCAAAGTTTATCAAGAAATTTTGCAGGAGAATGTAAGGCCATCTGTCCACCAATTGAAGCTCAACAGAAGATAGGTAATGAAACAGGACAACGACCCCAAGGACAGAAGTAAATCAACAACAGAATTGCTTCAGCAGAAGAAAATACACCTTCTGGAGTGGCCCAGTCAGAGTCCTGACCTCAACCAGATTGAGATGCTGTGGCATGACCTCAAGAGAGTGATTCACACCAGGCATCCCAAGAATATTGCTGAACTGAAACAGTTTTGTTAAGAGGAATGGTCCAAAATCCCTCCTGACCATTGTTCAGGTCTGATCTGCAGCTACATGAAACATTTGGTTGAGGTTACTGCTGCCAAAGGTGGGTCAACCACTTATTAAATCCAAAGGTTCACATACTTTTTCCACCCTTCTCTGTGACTGATTACATGGTGTGTTCAATACAAACATGAACACGTATGATTATTTGTGTGGTATTAGTTTAAGCAGACTGTCTATTGTCTATTGCTGTAACCTACATAAAGATCAGATAACATTTTCTGACCAATTTAGGCAGAAATTGCAGGTAATTCCAAAGGGTGACTGTCTTGATTTGAGCCTATTCTGTCTAGGCAGCGAAGAAAAACAAACACACTCATTCATGATTTCCGTTTGAAAAACAACATACTATGGAATTTCAATGCAATCAGCTGAATTTAATATAAAAAACTGACAACTGTGGAAACTATGGACTATAGCTGGTGGACTACAAAAACTGTAAAATCTGTGTCCATAACTAATTTTTTTCATTAACAATTTAACAAATGCTCAATAAATATTCAATAAATGTTATTTGATTTTATTCACTTGAATGAAATTAGGACTTAATTTTTGTATTAAGATGTTTATCTTGTTGAGGAAAAAGGACTGAAAAAAGCTTTTACTTCATTTTTACTTGTGCATATTTGTTGAGAAAGATTTTATCATAATTGTTTTGAATGTTCTACCTCAGATTTGTGAAGTGATCCACTGTTTCGCCTCAAGTGTTGACCATAAAGAAGTTAAAACCACAATTAACCATCAGGTTTCTTCAACTTTCACTAAGGAGCAAAAATCAGCCTTTAAACTCAAAAGAAATAACAATTTAATACTTATCGTGATAATTATAGATATCGGAAGATGTGAAACTTTTTATCGTGATAACATTTTTGGCCATATTGTCCAGCCCTAGAGTCACGTTCATGTTACTGTTAGTAAATAGTACTGCAATAGTACCATTACTTAATCCACTTTATACACACACATTACACAGTTAGAAAAGGAGTTGCAGTGACTGATTTGCATTATCCATTGAAAAAAAGTCTGCTGGGTCTTGGCATATGTTCGCAGTCAAAATAGTTACCACTATCAATATTTGTAAATCTAAATCACACAAATTAGTATACGCCAATGGTGGCTCTTGAAGATGTATGGTAGGATTAGCTTTATTACTCTGGATACTCTGGATAACGTAAGCTAACTGTTTATATAACCATGTGTGTTTTAGATCTATCCCTGCTCCATCACAGCTGATTTAAACTATCAACTCATCATGAAGTCCTAAAGCTACTTAAATCAAGTGTGTTGGAGCAGGGAGTAATAAAATCGTGCAGGACAAACGTTGCGCTACTCCAGGAGAGGGTTGGGAAACACAATCGTAAAAAAAAATTGTTGAAACGGAGTTATTGTCATCACACAGGTTTGTTATATGTTAGAAACAGGAAGAGGCGGAGAAAGCCGGTGTGTTCAAGTTAATAAACACTCAACTAACGTTAAAGTGGAAAATTACCTACAATAACCTACTGTTATTACAAATAGCCTACAATATACACCTCTACCAAGCCCACCCTCCACCGGCCGCCGCCGCCGGCACAGTTGCACTGTAATGAGAGCTCAACAGTCCGTGGAGCAGGTGTGTTGCGGTTCTGTCTCTGGGATACGCGACACGAGACCGTGAACTTGGTCTTGGTTTCAAAACCGTTACAATGGTCCCGGAAGTGTCTCTCCACAGAGAATAGCTAGCAGGTCTATTTTTGCCGCTAGCCGCGTCAAGCAGCACAGAGCAGATCGAACCAGGCAGGAAGTCAGACACAGAACGGCAGAGAGAATCTGGTAAATTTTCAAAATAAAACACCCTGTGGAGACTCCCAATTGTAAAACAACAAAAAAAAATATTTTCTTCTGAAATTCTCTTTGTGGGATATGAAGCCTGAAGTTGACGGAACAAAATGGGGTCACATAGAGCTGTGAAGAAGGTAGCAGAAGCACAAAAAGGACAAATTAATAACTCACTCAATAATGTGGGGCAGGCCGCACACTCTGCCGCTGAAACGCTTCTTCTCCAGTGGACTTCCAACCGTGGCGCTGCCATAACCTGCCATAGCCCGAGTCAGTGGATTCATGGCGTTGGGGTATTTAGCTTATTTTGACAGTATTGTCGGAGTTAGAGCGCCACTGTTTAAAAGTATTCCTTTGTTATATTGTGTATTGTGAATGGGGCTTTAATGTAGTCATCAATGTCACACCGCTGAGCCTCCTGTTTTTCTAACTAAAAACCCACTTATGTTGATGTTAAAGCTAATATTCATTTTATTAAATAAGGCATTACCATTTCCCAAGTGTATTTGCTGCAAACCAAAAGACAACTTCTTTTTTTTTTTCTCAATTCAGTTTTGAAATGGAATAATTAAAGAACAAACGATACACAGAATTTAGTTTCATTCTGTCATAAAACGAAGTTTACAGAAAAGTTCACAGAACACCAGCATTATGACCAGGAATGGCCAACAACAAAGTTGTGACAGTGATCGACGAGCATCTGAATGTAAATACCTTGTAAATACAACTTGGTTATGCGGTGGTTTCCCAACTTTACAAGTTGACAAGGACTCAGTGAATTCAGCATAAAGCACCTGACTGAGATGGACAGACAGAGAGAGAAGGGTGGGGCAGGCTTATCAGTGACTACGCAAGCCCCCCCAAACCTCAGATGAAAAATAAAAATATGAGAGGCAATTTGAGACACCTGACAGCTTATCTCTCCCCTCGCCCTGCCAGCCGCCGCCAACGTCCCTCCTCCCATATTAATTGTTTCTGCCACTCACATGTCAGATGACATTGCAGAAAAGAGACAGATGTCCCCCTCCCCCGCTCACATTACTGTTTCCTGTTATTACTGAGGATAAGGCAGCAGAGCCGAGAGCGAGCATAGGGTAATCTTTCAATTTTGTCACAGTTGTAACCTTCATCTGTTATATACTTAGAGCAGATCAACTCAGAGAAAACTGTAAAAAAAAACAAAAAAAAAAACACACAAAACTGCAGAGATGGATTCCTACAGGTTCTTCTGTCAACAGAAAAGTGTCAACAACCCACTTAATCTGTAATGGATTCAGTGTGTAACAGACACCAGCAGCCTTCCCAGTTGACAATCCACTCAAGGACTCAAATATGAAAAT